CTTATATCACAAATTTCTGAAATGTGTATAATTCATTGAAAAGAAGCATAAAAGGACTTTCTTTTTAAACTGTACATTTTATATCTTTCGAGGTCTTTTTTTCTTTTCCTTGCAAGATATAAGTATACATTCCTTATATTTTAAGAAAAGTATAATTGAATATATCTTTAATGCAGAGCTGCACACTTTCTCGTTCTTCGAGAAGCGCCGAGAAAAGGGCTAAGAGAATGTTGGTAGAGAATGAAAAACATAACTAAATTATACTTAGAGACAACTGAACAAACTCCTCACGATCGCTTCTCATGAGTAGCGTCAATGGAATTGTTTACAGTCGGCCAATTGTGCAGCTCTGCTTTAATATTTCTTTGTTGAAACACAAGCTTTCACATAGTAACATTAAAATTCTAATGTTATTTATGTAACGTATTCTACACATGTAGTGATATGTAATGTTACAATCCGTCTTTCCTTTGTGAAATAATATTTTTAAACTATGCATCAGTCTTCCTATATTAACAAAAAAATAAATAATTTTTTCAATAAATTACTGTAATATCATTGTGTACGATATAAAATTGTCAATTTGTGAGTGATGATCGCAAAATAGACATCATTTTAAACAGACATCAACTTAAAACTGATAAATATTAAATACATAATTTTTACTATTATATACAGAGTGAATCCAATGTCCTGCCACGGTAAAGATGGTAGTGAGTAAAGAATAATAAAATTAGATGAAGTTACATTTGTATGTGTAATGCGTTATTTCGCATAATTATTACATCAGAGAGAAATTAAAATTTTGAGTTCGTTGCTCATAGCGCGATAAACATAAATTATAATTTTAAGTTTATAATTAATGTTAAATTCAATACTTTATGTCACAATATCAACATTATACATAAAGATAACAATAAGAATGAAATTTTCAACCATATTTGACATAGATTTTAAAGGAATCTTAAAATGACTAGCATATGCTAGAAACATGACAATAAACGTAAAAATATTGAAAAAATAATTCAATATTGTATATGTAGACAACAATGACTAGTATTGTACAAAACATTCCGATAAATCAAACAGAAATCGCAAACTTTTATTTCTATATATGACGTTTTAATACTTTGTTAAAATATCCATCTATTGATACATTTAATAACTTTCAACGTAGGATCGAATTTATATGTAAAAATTTTGAGATAATCAAAATAACATACATATAAAGAATGGTAAATAAATTTTTATCAGACTGTAGTTTCTACATATTAATACCAACTAAAAATATGTGGAAGTTAATATCTTCGGAAGCTCTTGGACTTATCCGATTTCCTTCTTTTCTCTTACATCTATTTCTACAATTACATTAACGTGAAAAGATACTTTGCTTTGTTTGTGTGTTACTTATTTCACATCGCATTAAGGTAACTAGTGCAAACACGTCAATTTTCTGCTCAGCAGATTGTACGCGACTCAGATTAGCAATGCTAGATAATGCTAAATGCATAATACAACGATAGGTGATGAGAAATGTGTCTTCAGATCTTATTCTGATGAAGAATATAAATATTTTGATATCCGCCGATATATCACGAATGGCCTAACTGTTTTAACTGCTCGTAAGTAATAAAGAATATAATATTCCATGGTCCCATTCTAAACCACGTCGGGACAAAACCTTTGTACAGTGCTAGAACCCCTTCATTCTTAATCGTCTACATGAAACATAAAAATTCTTTCTTAAAGAATAATTAAAGATTAATATAATACAAGTCATATATTATTCATATCAAATTGGAATATAAATTTATATCGCGATCTATTATGTAAGAAACAAACCCTAAACTGATTAAAAACGAAACAAACATATATGCAAGCTTGCAAAATATAAATTTTTTATAATTAAAGTCATATACCTGAAGCAAACAATCGATACTGCCATTGTAAATGTGTGACGGAGTCTTACTGCCAATGATGTACACTCTCCTTTGATTCATCAGCCGCGTCTAAAGAAAGAAAAGGACATAGTTAAAGAAAAAAAAATTAATCACGTTATACAAACATATCTACTTACGCGAATGACGTCTATAGGCGTTGAAGCTACAGCACTTCCCATACTAGCTATAAAACTCGATCTAAAAAATATAACATCATTGAGACACATTCAAAGTTTATAAGCTTATTCTCCCTCTCTTCCACATAATATTCAAGAGTTACATTCTTCTTATTACACTTGTTTAATTATAAACATTTACTTATTTTAAATTTGTTGGCTCTTTTAGCATTAACATCTGATTTATTTCAAGATTTTAGACTATAATATATCAGATTTATACGATGGGGAGCAAAATTAACCCTTATCCAGGCATTATAGAAAGTTAAAAAATGTATAACATTATGTCTGCGATAATGGTCAATAATTCGATAGAGCAGAAGCATCAAGTACATTTCCAGATACAAACAGAAATAAAGGTATAGACAAAACAGAAGTTTGTCTACAGCAGGAAAGTTAGAAAGTTATGCGGCGTATATAGTTAGTAACTTAGAATTCCCAATGTTCTAAGATGCATAAATGCTAACCAAAAAGCCTTTATGAAGTAGATTAACATGTATAATCATCTGGACAATTGTCTTAACAATTCTTGTACTAGACACAGAGTGCTGAACACAGCGTCCGTGTCAAGCCTCTCTAGTCATCTCAAAAGCCGTCTATCGCATGTGTCCATATGCATGACAATGTCAAAGGACCTGGAAATAAAACGTTTCAATTTTAGGAGAGTTTTACTCCTTCCTCGCAATGCACGCAACATTCGAAATACAAACTTCGAAAATCGCGCAAATCTCTGAATCACAGGCAGTAGAAGTCTAATTAAACTGGTGGTTGTTCTCATAATAGAAATATATCATCAATTGAGTTGGGTGTAACTGAACATTAATTTGAAATGTTTCAATGTTTGATGTTTGAAAATTTGAATATTTGAATAATTTGAAATATATTTCGAGAAATACGTTGATATAGATAGATAAAAATTTTTTATTCTTCAATTTATCCCAAGCGTATTCTAATTCATTCAGCTTGATATTGTCAATATGAAAGATTAAATTAAAAAGTTAACATTTTAATTTCTCGAATATAATCTCCGATAATTTATACATCAACTAAAATGTATGTTATTAGATATGTGTTATAACCGTGTACCATATATAAAAGATTTCTATGTAAGCTTTATGAATTGCAGACGTATATCCAAATTATGTGGTTAATAAAATTCTAATAAAAATGGAAATTTAATCGTTAAAATGTATAATGTTAAAATCTAAAAAATTAAAACGGAGACAAATCACATCTATGCTTAAAAGATAAGCAATTTCTAAGTACATTCAAAAAATCACACTTCATAACAAACACACAACTCTTGTTGCATAATTTGGAGACATGTATTAAATGTAATATAATTTTTTATTTTTAATGAAGATTATTAAAAACGTTTTATATGCACGCTCCCAAAATAATTTTTGAGTATCTTCTTACTCTTTATATTTTATAAATATTGCATGACAATTGCGTTTCTTCTTTTTAGATACACAGTAATATTGCACTGAAAACTTTACAATAAGTATTGCTTGGGTTTTTTAATAATTTTGTTTTATGCGATGTCATATATTTTGTGTTATTAAAGCTATCTCACATTATAAAGTGTAATTTTACTGATCAAATTGGAAATATTCCATTTTTTATTATAGATATTTTTATGCTGTAAATTTATGGTATTTTTTGTTAGAAGACATGAGTTTTACCTGTCCGGATAAGGGTTAATTAATACTGACAATTATAATACTATAATAAACAATACACGTACATTAATAAATCTGAGTGTAATTTAAAAATGTTGATGATGAAACCTTTGGTTTTTCATAAATTTTTCGTTAAAAGGAATAATTTAGTAGTTATCATAAATTTGAAAGTAGTTTGTTGCGACAGTAAATATGCAAATGTTCCAAATATTGTGAATAGAATATTTACGTATAGTAATAGGGAAAACTTACACGAAATGATTACTAACGCTGTCTCCTAATACATTCATACATTTACTTTTAGTATAGTCATATATAGGTAATTCTACAGCCGCAATAACAGCCGCTCGTTGAGCGGTCGGTCCAACACCCTACAGAGAAGAACGAAAAAGATTAATAAAAAAAATTAATCTTTATACATACATATTTTTATAGGAAACCGTTATTGATAAAACCATTCATTGGGAAGAAAAAAATTTAAATAGTAGCTAACAAACTAAAATATTCTCTCCCTCAAACTAAAATATTCTTTTATTACAAACTGCAATAAATGTAACTTTTTAACAATTGCAGTCAACCCTTTAATGCAGAAATTGAATTTGCACGTTTATAAGCCTTCCTTAATCTTTCGAATAGTTTATTAAGTAAGCAAAAATTTATTATTATAACGATAATAGAAAACTGTAGATATAGCTACTTATATATCGTTGCATATATGTATAGATTTTTTGTAATGTAATTCAGAAACTGACAATTGTGTCTCAAAGTTGCTATATACGAAATAATTATACTTCTTATATAGTTTGCAACATATCAGACTAATGATACCTCTTAGTTTGGTTTCTAGTATATCTATGATGTTTGTCTGATTTTCGCTTCAAAACACGTGATCTCTGGGACAGCTTGTATATGATAAGATAATCCACTAAAGAGTATTCATTACCCTCCAAAGTCCACGGATACCTTCATGTCTATATACATCTTGGAAGCAAGTTAACAATGACATATTTTTTTCGTTGCCAGTGACTTGCATACGAACTTTTACTACATCGGTAGGATTAGCCATTGCACTTGACATAGCTCCAGCTAATGCTGCGCAAATAATATTTATTGTTACTAAATCACCAGTTGCCCATGCATCAGTTACAGCTTTTTTAAGAGAATAATAAGTTCCAAACTTTATAGTTCCATATGTTGCTTGTCGTAAAATAGCAGAACTAATCCTAGATAATGAAAAAATCAATGTCATTAAAAAAGTGAGAATATATTCAAGTCTTCAAAAGAAGTATTATCTTTAAATGTTAATAATATTATCATCTTTCAGTAATTCAATATCTTTAAAACCATGTAAATTTATATCTTATATAAATTTATATATCTTTAAATCATATAAATTAAATATTAATAATACTACAATCTTTCAGTAATTCAATACCTTTAAAATCATATAAATTTTAATATACATTTTTAATATAATTTTTATTTTCTTCAAATTTTTGTTATCTTCATATTTTGGTTAAAATTTCTGTCAAAGTACTTGATTATATAATTTCAAGATTTTATCAAGTGCTAGACTCTGATGTCAAATAATATAGTACCTTTTTAATAAAACACTCACCCAGAATATAATCCTTTAACTCCTTCTTGTTTAGAAATTTGGAACAAAGCATCAGTCATACCAGAATATCTTAAACGCGCAAGCTTCTGATCATACTTTTGGCCTTGTACTTGCAAGCGTGTTTTCGTCGTGTCTAAAGGAAAAGTACCTAAAAAATAAATAAGATAAAAGTTATCCTTTTTTTCTATCCAAAGCACTATTTCGTAATCCAAAGCACTATTTTGTGTAATACAAAAACTATTATTTTTCTTAATTATTTACTTACACAGTTCTGCAACAATTGAAGCTAAACCTCCATATACAAAAGGTCTCCAATCTTTCCAATTTCTCTCTCCCATCACCAGTATTAATCTATTGCAAGCAATATAACTGTTAGAGTCGTAGTAAAAAAGACAAGTCCATAACTTAAAAAGAAAAGTAAACAGAGATCAAATTTATTTCGCTTTTTCTTCTTTCTAAGTATATTAATATCACAGTAAATTCTTTGTATGATGCAAAACCAGTGATATATTAATAAAAAATTAAGTATACGGTTATATGAGAGGTTAGCTTTTGAAGATTTTCTACACTATATAAAATATAAAGTACTGATAGATGTCTAACAACCAATTCATAATCTTATAATTATAAACACCACATATTTCAATTTATAATTATAATTACATATTTAATAAACAATTTAAAGATAAATATTGCATTTAAAATTAATATTAAGTGTTAATATACCTGCAGTCGTTATTAAATGTTTCGACAATTTGGATTTATTACACAAAATTGTACGAGGCACACACAGAAGAATTTGGAAGCCGTACTTTTACGTTCAATGCAATTACAAATATAAATCAAATTTTTTTTATCTTTAGAAGTATTTCTTCAACATACCTCCTTTAGGCAGGTTTTTTAGCACCAGATCTTCGGAGTGTAGAATTTACACTGTAGATCAGTGTGGCCAGATTTATAACGCTGAGATGCAAGAAGCAAGCAGCATGAATAGAGGGGATATCTCAAATACCCGAGATAAACAGAATAAGCATCAGCCCTTAGATTCTTTCTCTCTCGGTACAGAATCATTTTCAGCTAAGATTCAAACCAAATGGTTTGAGCTAAAATTTTTGAGCTTGGCTAAAATTTCAGGTGAACACCATTACCAGTGGCGTAGCTAGGAAAGAGTTTTGGGGAGGGCTATAGCTTTAATTTGTTACAAATTATCACTATTAATTAGACACATCTGCACGGTATATTACCCACACTTAGCGCGACCCAGAGCCAACGACGGGGACGTGATGGGTTCTGGCTCCATTTTACTTTTTTTGTTTTGAGTAATTTTATTTTTTTTATTTTTTATTT